GCTGCGGGGCGCCCCGCGCGGGAGAGCGCGGGAAAGAGACAAAGAAAAGAAATAAATAAAATAAAATTGAATTAAATTAAATTAAATTGAATTAAAAATAAAAATAAATTAAAAAAAGAAGAAAGAAAAAGATGGCGCGCACTTGCGTGGGACGCAGCCGCAGGACTCGGAAGCATGCGTGTCGAGCAAAACCCTAAACCCTAAACCTTAAACCCTAAACCCCAAACCCTAAACCCTCGCTAGGCTTGTCTTGGGATTGCCCGTGGGGTTTTATTCATTTTGATGGATTTCCATACCTCTCTTTTTCGAAAATGAATGAAATGAGAGGTCTGCGGCGAGTGTCACTGCAGCAAACCCTAAACCCTAAACCTTAGATCCGAAACCCTAGACCCTAAACCCTTTTTTCGGGTTTTCTTGCTTTTCTTCTTTGAGGTCTTCTCTCCGTCTTCTGTCTCGCCTTAAGCTCCCCCAGGGGCCCTCGCGGGGCCCCCAACTTAACCCTGGCCTAAAGCCTAAACCCTAAACCCCAAACCCTAAACCCGAGTTTTTCGCCTTGACCATGCCTCAGCTCAAAGCAGAGATGACTCCCGGCGTATAGCCTGCAGCCTCCTCCGCTTCTGAAGGCCATGGGAACCAGGGTTTATTGGCTATGACTTAGGGTTAGGGTTTAGGGTTTAGGGTTTAGGGTTTTGGGTTTAGGGTTTGTGTGTTGCTCTGCAGCGACGCTCGACTCCCTTATGGGGAGGGACCGAAACGAATATGGCGCTAATGCGAAGAAAGGCGCTTCTTTTAAAGCAGATTCGGTCAGTAGGGTTTAGGGTTTAGGGTTTAGGGTTTATGGCAAGCATGGCCCGCCACTACGAAAGGGTGGGTTGCTGTAGGGTTTAGGGTTTTGCCGCAAGTGCAGACGCAGCGGGATGCCTTCAAACCACAAGGTGCTTTAGGGTTTAGGGTTTAGGGTTTAGGGTTTAGGCTTTGGGGTTTAGGGTTTGTGTTCCACTCTCAGGTCTGCAAATTCTATTTGCTCGACTTCTGCCCCCATGACCTTTTTCCGAACACCCGGGTTGACCTTGGACCGTAAGGTTGGGGGTTTAGGGTTTAGGGTTTAGGGTTTGGGGTTGAGGGCTTCTCTTCAGGGTTTAGGGTTTTGTTTGTGGCTTTTGGCTCGTACCTGCTGGCGCCTTTGCGCGGTTTTCTTGCTGCCAGGTGTCCTGCGTCTCAGGATTTAGGGTTTAGGGTCTAGGGTTTAGGGTTTAGGGTTTCTTGGTGCCAAGTGCCGTGCGTCTCAGGGTTTAGGGTTTAGGGTTTAGGGTTTGTGGTGCAGGTGCGACAGGGAGCACAGAGCAGACTTGAAGGTTGCCTTTGAGACAGACCCGGAGAGGGAGTTTTACCAAGCCCTCTTCGAGACCGAGTTTGCTCGTAGGGTTTAGGGTTTAGGGTTTAGGGTTGTGTTTGGGGCTGGGGTTCCAGTTGAGGGT